GTGAGGAGCTGCTCAGTTCTTTTGCAGAAAGGTCAGAGAGGCTTTGGAGAGGTAGATGTTGGTCCTGGACTCCCAGAACTAATGCTGCACTTAAAACGCCAAGGACTTTTAGTTCCGAGTTGATGCTCAAGTCAGAGGACAGTTCTTATCCTGTAAGCACATGCTGTAAAGATACTAGATTAAGAATCAATGATGTATGTGTTTTTCCCCATTTTTTGTTGGATGTGAGTGACATGAGAAATAAAAGCTTATGGTGAAATATGGTATTCTTTTAATGACCCTGCTGTTGTCCTAAAGAATAACAAGTACTTTCTGGGTTGGCTACTCCATCTAGTCCAGAATAGGACCACAAATGTTCTTGAAAAGCAAGTGATAAGCTTTAAAAAAATAATTTAATTCCCCCACACGGCAAAAAGAGTTTAAATTAAAATAGAAAAATTTAATGTTCTTTTATAAATGGAAAGAGGCAAAAACATTACGTTGGGGTGGGCAGGAAAGATGGCACCCATGTGAAACACATCATAACTACCTGTAATTCCAGCTCCAGGGGATTCAACATCTGACCTCCACAGGGACCCGCAGTCATATGCACATACCCACACAATGCATACACATAATTAGAAATAAAAATACATATTTAAAAGAGATCAAGAGTTTAAAATTTCATTCAGTCTTTGAATGATTGAGTTTCTTTAGGTCGGTGGTCTATGACTGTGACCAAAGGTTTACTTCAGTTTTGAACTACATAATATACGCTATAGGAAAGAATAATAGCCCAAGGATCAACTCTGGGTAGATTTTTATTTCAATGAATAACAAAAAGCCATAGCTTACTAGAATAAGAATATTTCTCAGGATAGGTTGATATCTCTTCTTCGCAAAAATCCTCATATATAGATAGACACTGCCACTGAGTGAGAACTCTAGTTTAACAGAATCTTTCCTAAGTCCTCTTAGTGAAGAATTTGTTCATCAGTGTCTCCTTTGGATGATATATTTATGTAGTGCAGTTGAAGAATATTTTGTTTTTAAGATTTATTTATTTTGTGTATAGTGTTTCTGTCCTCATGTATTGCCTGCACACCAGAGGAGGGTATCGGAATCAACTATAGATGGTTGTGAGACACGATGTGGGTGCTGGGAACTGAACTCAGGACCTCTGGAAGAACAGTCAGTGCTCTTAACCTCTGAGTCATCTCTCCATTCCCACACTTGAATATTCTTAATAAAACATTTTTTTCTTTGAGACATGTAGTCTCATGTAGCCTACATGTCTCATGTATCCAGAATGGCCTCAAATTCCCTATGTAGTGAAGGATAACTTGAATTCCTTATCCTCCTATGCCTACCTCCTGAGTGTTAGGAGTATAAACATGTGCCGCCATGCTTACTTGACGCATTTCTGGGGATGAAATCCAACGCTTCATGGATATGTGTGTGTGTATAATATATATTATATATATAATATATATATTAGAGTTTTATGTATGCTTCATAAGTGCCCTACCACAGAGCCACACCCTTATGTGCACTTCTAGATGACAATATTTAATATTTCTTTCCTCCAAACTTTTTGAGTATGGTATGGAGGATTTTCTGAGTTAGAAGTGATTTTGGTGGGATTATTATTATCTTGTTTCATATAAAATCTCTATACTGGAGCCATAAGCTTCCATTTGAGGAAAGAGACATGCTGGCAATAGTAATGCTACTATTCCTTTATGCTGGTTGATAAAGGGTTTTACTTACAATGCCAGCTCTACTAACTCCCATAAAACCTACAGGAAGTTTATAGAAATAACAAACCTCTGTTGTTACTATGAAATGACCCAGGGATATCTAATATGAAATTGTCATTTCAAAAACAAAATCAAAAAACCTCCAGATCTTTTGATGGTATTAGAAAATATTCATGTACTATTTCCATATCCAGTCTATTATAAGAAGAAATTTTAAATGTGGGGCTCAGTGTTGTGATGAAACTATTAAGTCCCTGCCTGACCAGCTGGCAAAGCATGAAAGGTTAGAAGCAAGAAAAGGTTATCTTGTTTTTGTTTTTTGTTTTATTTTAAAGGAAGGGAAGAAAGAAAGAAACAGACAAAAGGGAATGAGGAAAAGAGGAAAGAAAAGAGAGAGAGGAGAGAAGGAAGAGGAAGAGTTTCAATGAATTCCACAGACAAAACCAGCTCAGGAACAAACTAGCAATTGAGAGACAACTTGGAATCCTACGCCATCCATGTGGGCCACTAATAAGCTTCTTTCTATCTCTGTAGCTCGTGGCGAGCCAGAGAACCAGTGGGCTTTCGGAACGAAACAGGTGACAAGGACAGAGCAGACAGGTGGCATGATTTTCCCCAAAGATGAGCTATTCCTTATAAGATTCTTCCTGGGGTAGGCAGATGGGTCAGCTGTAACAACAGCCCATGTTAGGGACTCTAGTTCCAAAGTACACTAGGTAGAAGTACTCAGAGGATAATTGCTGGGATTGATAAGCATGGTTACTAGAATTTACAAAACTATGCAAAGCCATTCAGATGTCAAACAGTTTCACCTTCTCTATACTTTTCCTCTTGTACTCTATTATCTGACCGCCTGACAGTCAGGAGGTCAGCATTCCAACCTTTGCCAAGTCTGCTGTCCATCAAATGAAACGCCTCATCCTGAGCGGGCTTGGGGGGGAGATTGTGCCAAAATCTCATTTAGGGGCTTTTTTTTTATTATAGAAAGTCTCCTTCCTGTTATAGGAATGTCAGGTATAAGCCAACAATGGAAGGGCAGATATTTGACATAGGCAGTCTTCCTGGCACCCCTGGAGTGAAAGGTGGCTTGACATGGTGCCCTCAACAGACTTGACTTCTGAAGAAAGGCAGAGGAAATCATCATTATGGTTCATATGAAAACCTGGAAGCCTGCTATTCTGGGTGGTCACTGTTTGCACTACTCATGAAGCTCAAAGGGCAATCCTTGCCTCTATAAACTGGTGCATGTCTGGTTCTTTAGTTGACAAGCCAGAAGACTCTTTAATGAATGCAAGCCATCAGTGTACCTCGATGCCTGTGGCAGAATGGACTCTGTAAAGGGAAATCATATGTAACCTTGGGGCTATATTTACTTTTAAAATGCTTCTAATTATATTTAATACCAAGGCTATATTAAACATGAATTGCCATGGCATTAACTTTTTGAAAAATCATTTAGAGGTAATTGGTGTACATAAATAAAGAAATATAGAGGAGAAAAAGACATTTTTACGACTGAAGGATAAATAGTAGCCTACCTTCAGGAGAGTAGATGCTGGGAAATCCTTAAGTCTGCACATAATATTCCATTTTTCCCCCTAGGCAGTGAAATGCCAAGCTGATGGGGGACAAAGGAAAATCTCAGGAGGTTTTATGATTGGCAGATGATTCAATAGGGGCACATGTAAGGTGATCCACTTAGAGAGGGCCAGATATTCCAGAGTATACTTGCAGGCTGGTAAAATGATGATCTTTCAATTAAGACCCAGGAAAGAGCTCTAAGAAACCATGTGGACAGTCCCCTGAAGAGAACAACTTAGTGTCCTGCTATGGTTTTAAAAAAAGGCCAACAAAATGTTGGGCGCTGTCAAGAAGGAGGTTAAAAGACAAACAAAATAAATTTCCTTTTACAGAGAACCACAGGACATCTTCACTGGTAATGTTACATAAGCAGTTCTGATCTGCACATCACAAGGACAGAACAGAGCCTAAGGGGAACAAAGAAGGGCAATTAAATCACCGGTGACAGGCCTGACAATCCAGAGTTATCTGAGGGACAAGGGACACGATGAAGATGCGGAAGAGGCTAGTGCTGCCGAATGCACGATGCCTTGCCTCGCTCTATCTCTTGAGTTAAGAGGCGCCTTTGAAATTTTTATTTCTCATGGTTCTACTCTGTTTACACAACTGCCAGGGATGGTGGCCAACGCAGGCAGGCTCCTCTGGGAAGTCCCTGTTTTCCACCAGCAATTGGGCGAAATGTGAGCTGGGTCGGGGTAGGGATCAAACGTGTTCCCATCCATACCGCTTACTTTCAGTGAGCTTGCCTAGTGGACTTCTAGTCAGATTTACCTTGTCCACTCCCATTGGCAGCAGGAAAAGCATACCTGACCAGTCTTAATTTTTATGAATATGAGTTTAACCTCTCTCCATTCTGTAGGACTCTGAACCCCAATGGCCTTCAAACCAAACTGTCTGCCTATATATGTGTATGCTGGTTATTTGGTCCTTAACTCGAGGTTAAAAAGACATTTGGGCTGGGGAGGGATATAGCATAGTGTATAAAAAGCCCTGGGTTCTATCTCTGGCAGAGAAACAGTCCCTCGTCTCCAATCCCCCATCTCTTCCTCTTCCTCTGCTTTCTGACTACACTTGGAAGGGCGTGTAGAGGTAGACGGCAATAATCAATGGTAACTAACGACCGTCAACTCTAATATTCATGCCAGTGGAGAAAAGCACATGTCTCCATGAGAAAACTGAAACATACCCTGTCGGTCTGATGAGATGACACACATGCAAGAAAGGACCAGTGAAGGGATTCCACGCAACAGCCTAAAAGCTTTTATGTTGGAATGGCCTTTATCATACTGTAAAGGAGGTTATGTCATACCTCTGGTCTCTGGCCCAACTGTTTAGTGCTCTCCAACAGGACGGTTAGCATGTTAAATAAGCATAGTGAGTAGTATCTACAAGCTATGTAAGTCAGGCATGGTGATGGCGCATGCCTTTAGTCCCAGCACTTGGGAGTTTGAGTTTGAGGCCAGCCTGGTGTGCACAGAGGGTTCCAGGAGAGCCAGGGCTATGTAGAGAGACCCTGTCTCAAAAAAAACAAAAAACAAAAAACCAAGTAAAAGGTGTGTGAGCATACGATGATTTTTAGTTTCCAATTATTCCTTGAAAACAAGAATTGTGAAGACTGAAAAACATTGCACATTTCCGAGATCCAATCTACCTGCAACTAGCTCGGCGTTACTGCCATACCTTTCACAGATGTGATAGTACTTCTCGTCCTGTATGCCATCCTGAATGGGCACATTGACACTGTAGTACCGACCTTTTCCCAGGCCAACATCAGACATGTCACCTGTTCCTGTAAAAGACAGGAACACTATGATCAGGCATCAGGAACACGAGCACTAGAAAACACAAAGGACTGACTGTCCAAGAGCAATTTAGAAGAGCAAAATGGTCAATTAGGAGAACAATCTAACTTCTTCTAACAACCGTTCCTGAGGAGATGAAACTATGAAAACAATCCAGAGAAATATTTATTATAAACAATGTTGGGGGAAGCAGGAAAACGGGAAGGAAACTGAGAAATAGTAATTTACGTGAGATAAAACAATAAGAGCTAATATCACATGTAATTTTCAGTTATCAGAATTACATGTGGTATGTGATAAAATGATAAGTGGTCTGTCTGTTCACAGACCATAAAAATCACCCAAATTAAAAAATCTATCCATTGTCATTCCCTTTCTCACTGTCACTTGAAGTGATATGAGTTAAAATTTCACACAGACTAGCACAAATAAGGTGCCAACAGCATGGACACATATAAAAATAAGATAAAGAAGCATGTAATGGAATTGTAGAATCTAGACATGTAATATACGGGGAGCATGCAGTTGACTTGCCTGGAAAGAATCCTGGGGAGAATTTGTGCAGGGACACAGTCATAACTTTGGATGTAAAACTGAAGGCATCTTCGACACCTACCAAGAGAAAAAAGTCAGAAGGATCACATCAGATCTTCAACTCCTGTTTTCAACACCTGCAAATTTAAACAAGTAGCTATGGGAAGGAGGTGAGAGGAGAAGGCAGCTATAGTAATACAGAATGACAGAGAAATAAGAGAACACAAGCTGCTGGTTTCTGATTTCAGTAATTACAGACAAGGTAGAATATAGCCCCAATCCATGACAAACTGGAACTGAGCTTCCTCTTTCCAAGCAATAGGATGCCCAAGTTCACCCCGACGTCTATTCGAATCCCTATGAAAGAACCAAGAGTCCAGAACTGAGGCTCTATCCACAGAACAGAGTAGAGAAAAGTGGCACCAGCCAGGCAGGTTCATGGTCTGTTCTGTTTAAGTGTTTCTAGTTAAATTCCTGGGACTTTTTCAAAGACCTATAATATGGTAATCCTTTCAAATATAACTAATAAATCAGTTATTCAACTTTATTAAGTTAAAACTTAATGATGAGGTGCCTCTCTATAATGTAGACTTGGTTATAAAAGTGGGTAACCCAAAGTCCCATGAGCACCAAATAACTTACATTCCATCTTCCTGCTGAAAAATAGTCACGGTCCTGTCCCTTAACAGCTCCTGTATAGGAGGATGTTGCCTTCTGTTTATTTATTTACTAAAACAAATGTTTGTATTTTGGAACTGCTTAAAGGAAGTGAGAGAAATACAATTAAATTCTTGAAACCCAGGGTAGTGATAAAACTTTAAAGGAGTTTGCTGTTCGCCAACTTCAAACTGGTTTGGTGTGTGCCCAGAGTAGGGGGCACCTTCAGTTGTTAATAGCAGCTTTAAAACTGTTTTAAAGCCTGGAGGAAGATGGTGGGGGGGGGAGCTTTTGTAGACAGATGTCTTCCTTCTTCTTTAACAGTCAGAAGATGACTAGATGCCTGGGAGATAAAAGCTGAGATTCAAAGTAACCCTCCAAAGCCACTAGTTAGGTGTTGGCCATGCTGCCCAGTGCTACCCTCTCCTCTCGGGGTCGCACATTCATACTCAGACACTCTGAAATGGAAGGGCTATTGGTGAATTCAGGTACTGTGTTCCTTTATATTTCAAACAAAGATATTGTCTCTGTGTTGACTTAAATGTATTTAAGTCTTTTTTAGAGGCCAACAGAGACCTTAAAAAAATATGAACTCTATTTGTATATAACAGGTATGTTTGAATTTCCCAAGCCTTGTGTTTTGCCCTAGGGAGGTAGTTAAAACCAGTTAAAGACTTCAGGCAGAAAGCATTAAGTAAACAAAATAAAATAAATGAAAAGACCGTTTCAACAGAGGCAGAAGTACTAAACAAGAGCACTTTATGAAACTGCTAATGATTTATACACCCAGAAATGGAGCAATTTACATTTGCACCAATCCTGTATGCAAATTTCCGTTTTCTCCTGCGATGACTAACGCTGGCAGCTGTTATTTCTTTTAACTCTTAGGCAAAGGAATGGCTCTAAGTTGCATTTCTCTTAGTGTTAGGGCACTACACATCATTTCATGTGTTCAGTGGCCATTTGTATTTTGTCTCACACTAGAAGCTACCAGGTGGGGTTTTAAAAAGAGTGGACTTTAAAAAGGACCTAGAGAGGCAGGGGATGTGGAGCTGGTATCCAGAGGAGGGAGGTTAGGTAGGGAAAGGTGAGGGTGGGGGTAGGAGGGGCCAGTGAAGCCACCCGCAGGATGCTAGTGGCAGAATCATGGGAGATTTAAAATAAAGCAAATGTGTAAGAATTCTGGGGTAGGGCAAAGGTCACTGGAAGAGAGGTGCTGAAGAGGGGAAATAAAGTGAAATGAAACACCCCGTAAAAGTTGGCTGAAACAGGAAATTCGAAATGGTGTAGGAATAACACTGCGAACGCAAAGAACGGTTTCAGGTGACAGTCTTATTTCATTCTACACAGTTTGGCAGAGTGGGGTCTATTTTTGAACTCTGGTACTAATACTCTGAATTCCATCAGCATTTATTCATTCACAAAACAAATATTTTATTGAGCTGCTACTATATGTACAGTACTGACAGAAAGAAGTAGACAATTTGATCTCTGTTCTGGGAGAACTTAGGCTTTCTGTAGGAAGAAAGGATACTTTTAATGAACAATAAGAAGAGTAGAACACGAAACAGTGACTAGTGATAGGAACATACAGGGCTTCAGCCACACAGCACGCTCTTGGGCTGGAGTGGTCAGGATAACCCACTGCTGTTGGAACCTGAATGAATAGGGTAGAGTTTAGGGGTACAGTGAGGGAGGAGGTTGCTAAACTAGGAAAAAGGAAGCAAAGTCAAGGAGGTAGAGTTAGAGAAACATGTCTGGAACACTGAGATATGCTTGCTGAACAGAAAAGTTGCAAGAAATGGTTAGAAAGACGAGGGGAGGCTGATTTGAGGCCTTGAAAGGTGAGATAAAGAAAGTCTACTTTTTCAAGCCAGGCAGTGGTTGGCGCACACCTTTAATCCCAGCACTTGGGAGTGAGAGACAGGAAGATCAAGTTCGAGACCAGTCTGATCTACAGAGTGAGTTCTAGAACAGCCAGGGCTACACAGAGAAACCCTATCTTAAAAAACAAAACGAAGAAAAAAAAGTCTACTTTTCCATAAAGAATGTGGTTTTCAAGGTGTGATCTGTAATACAACTGACGCACTTTCAGAGTACAGACTACGTGAGTGACGTACTTAGTCTGAGTATGTGATACCTGGGGCACAGCAGTCAGCACATAACCTCCCCCGGGCCGCTAGATGCACAATCTTGCATGAGAACCATTTCTCTAGGCTAGGAGTCATCAAAGTCCATGTGGCTAGACGGTAAACATCCTAGACGCCTGCACACATTTGTATACACATAGACATATGCATACCACCAGGAGGTGGTGGCACACATCTTTAATCCCAGCACTCAGGAGGCAGAGGCAGGTGGATCTCTGTGAGTTCAAAGCCAGCCTGGTCTACAGAGTGAGTTCCAGAACTACATAATGAAAACCTATCTCAAAAAAAACCCCCCAAAACCCAAACAACAACAACAAAAATAAAAATGGAAACTCATTTTTGGCTCACTGGTCATATAAAAATAAGCCACTGTGACATGCTGCCGCCTGTAATGGGTACTGAAGAGGCTTTGAACATTTTAAATCAAGGCTGTGTCTCACCCTGGCAAGTAGTGAGAAATTCATGGAGAATGGTTCTCAGTGTGTGTGGTGTTTGTTTTTAATCCTTTTCTGTTATCTTTAATTCTTTGTTTCTAGCAATGTACTCCTATCCCAGGATTATATATGCTGGTAACACAAAGAAAGTGATCAATCCGTGAACTGATAGCCTGCAATGAAAACCCCCAAATGTTGGTCCTTCCTATAGCCATTGTACCTTGAGAGAGAAGATCCTCACCTCTAACCCAAGAGCTCCCCTAAAAACCCATTCAAAGGCCCCAAAGTGCTTCCTGGACATTGGAGTAAACACAAGTGAGATCTTCCTATCCTTCCATTTTCTATTATAAAGTTTAGCTTCAGGAGACAGGAGAGAGGAAATGACAGGAGCCTGCCCGGCTTGGGCGGGAGAAAGGAATGGTTTCAGTCCAAGGAAATCTATGCACCACCTAGCCAGCCCAGAAATGACAATTAGGGATATTTCAATAGCATTAGGTAATTCTCCTTTTATTAGTTGCCTAGAAGTAGCTTTATTGATCAAAGCCTGCTGTCCTAGTAGTAAAGTATCTTTGAAACTGAGGGCTTACCATCTCCATGGTGCAGATCCAAATCCACATAGAGAATACGGTCAAATTTCCGTCGCAATCTTAATATTCCCAGGACAGCATCATTGAGATAACAAAAACCAGATGCTTCATCTCTGCAAGAAAACATGTTGCTACAGCCAACAACCAAAAAGCAGTCCAAGGGAGTCTTTACAGCCAAGCATCTAACCTTTGAGATCTAGTCCCATAAAACCCCCCATGTTTTAAGAAAAACAAATTTCACCTATAAGGATTATATAGTGAATGGCCCAGAATGATCAGAAAGTGAAGTGCTGCAACAAGGAAACATTCAGAATGATTGGTAGTGTTTTCCTACTCACAACTCCAGTGGTTTCCAAAGATCAGACTATTGTAGTTATACTGAATAAGATGATGTTTCTATGACAATTAGGGGATCATTTAAAAAAACAATCTTGTAGTCCCCTGGGGTCATGGTCCCCGGGTCCCTTGAGGTCATACCAATAAACACCGATTTCACTAAGACCTCGCTGGGGTCTTAAAGACAAGTTTACAGAAGATGGAGACTGGGTTCTTTGAACAGACTCTATGTATACCCCACAGGTTGGTTATTTTTTATTGCAATATGCTTTGGCACTTGTTAGTCATGAGAACTCAAAGTAAAACAGACAAATGCACAACGCTTTGGGCACAGCGATGTGGCTGCCTTTCTAAGAACGCAATTTTACAATGAGGAGTGCAGAAGCCTCTACTAAAGGTATCTGGCTTCACAAAACCCACTGTCACTGATCTCACTGGCGCCCGGTGACTTTTCTGTATGGGTGCTATCACTTTAGCCTCTTATCAACATTCACTTGCTCTTTTATTACACTTTTATTTGAGCCTTTCTGATTAGATATAAAAGAACACTATTTATCAAGAGTGTATTAGAACTTAGAACTTATTTTAAAGCATCATTCCAAGCGCTAGTTTCTTTTGTTTCCATAGATACTTCAAACATCCAGATCCTGCCCCCTTTCTGATTTCCATGAGATTTTATTTGACACAAAATTCTACACATAGACATTTGAAATGGCACCATTGATACTGTGAGAAACCTTTCTAGTGTTTACGTAATATAGAAAGCTTCGTGAAATCTTCCACACTCCAAATGATGCCCTGGTTCACATGCTGAAGATGATGAGCAGCGAGTTGGTTAAAAAAAAAATAATCACTGGACACTGCCTGTGCTTCACCGAGGGAACACAGCAATTATTCTAGCTAAATGGCTTGTTAGTAGGTATGCGACAGGGAAGAAACCAGGGAGAGCAAGGATGAGTTCAAGCACGAATTCTCTGTGAGAATTAAATGTGTAGCTCTGAGTGTTCTTGCATGTGCATGCTAGTTTCTAGTTCGGAAAGTTTACATTTTATAAATCTGCTGTCTTAATACATGGAAGAGTTAGTGTGTTACCCTGATAAGCATCAGTTTGGGGATGGAACAGTAAGTGCTAGTAAAAGGAGGAAAGAGAAGATGGTCATGAATGACAGTGGCCACAACACTGACAATTCTAGTTCTTTATTTTCTGTAGCAATGTGTAATCGTTTCCTACCTCTGGATGGAATTACCATATTAGATTATCAAAATCTCATACAGTGATGCCATACACATGTAATCCCAGTGCTCAGTAGGCAGACACAGAATCATAAGTTGTAGGCCAGCATGGGTTACACAGCAAAACCCTGTCTCATAAAACCAAGGGCTGGAAATAAAGCTCAGACATAGAGCAATGACTAGCATCGCAAAGCTTTGGGTTTGATTCCTAGTATTAAACTAACAAGAAGCAAGCAAGCTCTTAGATTAAGGGAGTTTTGGAGTTTTGTGGGGGTGGAGGGCTGGTCATTTGGTTTACACTTCCAAATCACAGTCCATCTCTGAAGAAAGTCAGGACAGTAATTCAAACAGGACAGGAACCTGGAGGCAGGAGCTGATGCAGACAGAGGCCATGGGGCAGGCGTGGGAGGAGGAGTGGGCTGCTGCTTACGTTTATTTTCATAGGCTTATAGAAATAAATACACATTTAGATAAGATTGCAAAAATTCCCCAAAAGTGAGGAAACTGAACTTCCAAGACTTTCAAAGTGCTAAAAAATAATATTTAAAAACCCCATCCAAATGCCAGGCATGGTAGAGTAAGTTTTTAATGCCAGCAGGCAGATCTTTGTAAGTTCAAGACTAGCCTGGTCTACATAGCAAGTTCCAGGCTACTCAGGACTACATAGTCTTTTTTAAAACTTCCTTTTTATTTATCCTCTGTGGCTTTCACATCATACATTTCAATCCCATTCATCTCCCCATCACTTCACATCTGCCCTCTGCCCTTGCAATCTCCCCCCAAAATAAAATAAAATTCAAGAAAAAAGAAAAGAAAAATCTCACTGTAGAAGCTGCAGTGTATGACAGTGAGTCACACAGTAAACCCTTTAGCCCATATACCTTTACTTGCAAACGTTCATTGCAAAGAGTCATGGGTCTGGTTTGAGGCCTCTGGCTTCTGCTACACTGTGGATATTGGGCCCTCACTGGGACTCCTCTTGCATATCCTCTTGTCCTGTGTTGTGGAGATCTGTAGCTTTGGACCTGCAGGTCCAGCCCTTTCGCATGCTCTAGCAGTTCGTAGACGGGATAGATGTTGAGGTGAGCCAACTCATAACCCTGGTTCTGGGCAGGGTTGGGTATCCTGACAGTTCTCCCCAGTCCTCACCACCAGGCTGAAGTCTCCAGCACTGCCCCAGCTGTCCTGTGAGGCAACGAGCAAGGGGCTGGGCCAGTTCTCCTGCTCTCAGGGTCAGCTCACCTCCACCTCCATCACCAGGGCCAGCTCTACTGCGCTACCCAGGCGAGGTGCAGGGGCCACTCTCCTGAGTGCTGCAGCTAATGAAGAGTAAGGACAGCACCCCTGTTCTTCCGACCTCAGGGCCAACTCTCCTAGCTGCCACAGGCAGCGAAGGGGTGGGGGAGCATCTCTCCCTTGGAAGTCGAGGGGTAGGTCAGATCTCCCAAACTCATATTCTGGGGCTGGTTCACCCACACCCTGCCAACAGGGTCAGCTCTACTGTGCTGCCCTGGCGAGGTGCAGGGCCAGCTTTTCTGAGTGCTGCAGCTGGTAAGGGGGGGGGGGAGTTCAGCTCCCTCGCCTGCCGCAGATGGCAGGGATGAGGGGGCAGGGCATCTTTCACCACCACCTGGCAGACAGGGGAGGGGGCATAGCCAGCTATCCCACTCTCACAGGAGGGTCAGCGCCTTCATCTGCCACAGGTAGAGAGGATCGAGGGGCAACGGGGACAGTGAGACTCTCTCTTAAAAAGAAAAGAAAAATATTTAAAGAATTCAAGGTCATATAATTTATGCAAATGTGTTAATAATTAAGACTAATTTAATAATTTACGTGCTAAAATCAGTTATATCTTATTTATCATTTGCACGTATAATATACAGGAGTATTTTTAGTCTGCTTAGATATGTTCTTCCTAAATATTTACAGGTTCATTGACTGAATGAGCTAGCATTACTTCTAACAAATGTTTAATAGTATGCAAAATGTACATTTGTTTAACCAAGTCGAGCCATTATTATGGCAAACTAATTTCAACAGTAATTGTGTTTTGTATTCTACCAGTTTAAGATAATTTGTAAGATCTTAAGGTAACTGAAAACTCTGGCTGATGCCTAATTTAATTATTTCTAAGGAAATGTTGACACATTAGCACAGAACCTTGGGCTTATGTGCATTTGCTTCTTATTTGTGCACGCGTGTATGAATATATGGTACATTTATGTGTTTATGTGTGATCACATACATGTATGTGGCTGCACATGTCTGCACTTGCATGTGGAGGTCAGAGGTTAATGTTGGGTGTCTCAATCTTTCTCTTATTTAATGAAGAAGTGTTTTACTTAACTTGGCCCTCATAGATGCAGCCAGCTTGCCCTAGGGCTCCTCTGTCACCACCTCCTGAGCACTGGGATTACAGGCGACCCACAGAGTCTACCTGGCTTTTATATGGACTGGTGATCCAAATTCTGGTCCTGATGCTTAGGCAGTAAGCATTTATCCACTCCTTAGCTCTGCTTTTATTTATGGAAGTTACAGGAAGCTATATATAAGTATGTTAAAAGATGTGTTCTTTTTGCCACCAAGAGAGACGTTGAATTAGAAAGGATACAGAAAGTTGTAGAGGTTTCACAAAAGAGAGTTATATTTGTTTACATCAGAGCTGGCTAAATTTTGGTGTGTAATTTATCACATTTCTGACAAGAACTTTAATTTCAAGCATATTGATGAAAAAGCCAGTTTTGTTATTTCTGTATTTAAAAGACAAAGAATTTTGAATTCTTGGTCTGTTCTTACAGCAAGCTGGGAATGCTTTGCTGTACCTGCTGGGAGATCTTCTTAGATAACAAAGATTGTGGGTCTTCCCAGAATTACTTTCCTTAGTTCCCTACTTTTCCCTTTCACTGGCCTCGCATATGGTAAACAAGCCCTCTTTTTTGGGATATATTCCCATATTTCTCTATTACTTAAGAAAGCAAAGTCTTCTCACTTAGGAAGGAACTAAGGGCTTTAGTCTTACTTCTTATATGGAAAATATTTTATTGTTACTTAGAACAGAGAGCCAAGCATTATTTTTAACAGCCCATCACCCTATCTTAATCAAGTCTCAGAGGGCCGGGAGGAAAAACCCACAAAGGATTTTTGTCTGACTTCATAAAGAAAGAGGCACCTATGTCTGTTGGCTTTGTGTGGTGTTACTACTGCAGCATGGCATAGGTGGAGCTGTCAGGTCAGAAGTGGTGATTTGCCTCTCCTAGGTTAAAATGGCAAAATGGTATCAATATAAATATTTCATAAGCTGTATGCTGTATGAGATCATCCATGTCTCCACAGGCCATGATATGTTTCTATTTGTCAGAGTTCAGCTTGCTGCTCTGTCAAATGTTAGACAAGTAGAGGACCACAGCCCTCAGCCATCTGTGAGGACTGCATGCCAACACCCCTAGTGGGTTCCTGAAACCCTGGAAGGTACAAAGCAATTTATAATCATGTTTTTCTGTATGTATGTATGTAAACACACACCATATGTGTGTGTGTGATACAT